ACTGGGCCGCCGGGCCCGGAGGTGGAGGTGGGGGGAGGCGGGGGAATGTATGTGTAGACGCCCAGCGGTCACGTGCGAGGGCAGAGTCTGCAGCCACCGGGTTAGCCTGGCCTCCGGGAGCTGTCTAATGATTACTTGCCTTTTGGCTGCTCGGCGTCGGTGATCGCCCCGGGAAGGAATGTGTTTGGGCCAGGCCACCTGGCCCTAAACCTGAGGGCCTGCTCTGCAGAAGGGACGCGGGAAACCTTCAAGTATCCTGATTTGGAGGAGACCGATATATCGTGGAACTCGGCGTGGTCCCTGAACTAGCAGCCTCAGCACTGCCTGGGAATTCGAGTTAAAATGAAAATCCCCAGGCTCCACAGCGGGCCGACTGAATCAGAAAGTCTGGGGGTGGAGCCCAGTCATTTGGGTTTTTACAAGCGAAAGGGATGGTGATGGTCCATGACGACTTCTCAGTACCCTAGGTCTGGGAGTCTTGTTTGTTAAAAAAAACAAAAACAAAATTCAACTAGTACACGTGAAGATCAATTTGGCTTTATTAAGTGATTCCTACATTGGGGAGCATCCCATCTAGCAACCAGAGGACTCTGGAGGAGTTGTACAAGATGGAAGGCTTTTATAGGAAGAAGGGTGGGACAGGGAAAATATTGGGAGAGCAAGACTTCGGGGGGGGGGGGGGGGGGGGGGGCACAAGGGTTTTTATCATGGAGATTGCCTCTTCTTTCTATGGGGGAGTGGGGTGGAGAGAGCCCACATGACCAATTTTTCATTTTTAACATTGTTTCTTCTTGTGGCACACATAAACTAATTACTAAAAATCTGCAGCACTCCAAAAATATGTATTTTTTGCTGATCTGACCAAAAAATAGATATAATTTTGATTCATTCACACTGGACAGCTATTGTGTTGGCTGTTGTCATTTGTTTTTAAAGTTTGTTTTAACTTTAAAACAAACCTTAAAACAGACCTCAGCTCTCCTACTATTTTGCAAGCATGTCAGGAGTAGGACTGCATTTTTTTTGTGTGTGTATTTTTTATTGACTTCAGAGAGGAAGGGAGAGGGAGAGACAGAAACATCAATGATGAGAAAATCATTGATCAGCTGCCTCCTGCATGCCCCTTACTGGGGATCAAGCCCACAACCCAGCCATGTGTCCTGACCAGGAATCCAACTGTGACCTCCTGGTTCATAGGTCAACCAGTGAGCCACACCAGCTGGGCTCTTGTCATTTTTTATGTGACAATCTAGGGAAAAAGAGATCAGTGCCCCTGACCAGTCAGTTTTGCATGTCTCAAAAATTCTCACAGCACACCAGTTGAAAATTGCTGAATTACCTCATTGGTGTTAACAGAAAATTTTAGATTGGTTCATTAAGATTATATTTCTGGAGGGAGAACTAAGATGGTGGCATAGGCAAACACCTGTACTTGCTGCCTCCCACAACCACATCAAAATAACAACTAAAATACATAACAACTATCATCTAGAACCACGGGACACCTGGCTGAGTGGAAGTACTACAACTAGAGAGGTCAAGAAGAAAGTGCATTGAGACTGGTAGGAGGTGCGGAGGCGCAGAACGGGCTGGCACCCGGGTGTGCCGCCGCTTTTTTAATAGGGAGGGAAACACAAGCTCCCACTTGGTCTGAGCTCCAGGGTCGAGTGAGACTCAGGAGGACCCAGACACATACAAGGAGAAACTGGACTGTCTGGCACTGGGGCAGGAACACGGGGGCGGCTTTCTTCCAGATGGAGGTGATGGCAGTGGTCATTGTTCCCATGCTGGGACCTCCCCGGTGCAGGGCTGACTGGCAGCCATTGCTGTTTGCTCCACCCTGGAGATTCCTGAGACACCACCCTACCCAATGTACAACCCCACCCAAGCTGTGCCCAACGGCTTTTGCATAGGAAATGGCCTGTCCTTTCTCAGCCTAAAACCTGTCAAATGAGCTGCAGCTGGGTCTGGGAACCCCAAAGCTATCAAAAGAAAGCCTAAGGCCGCACCAGCACCAGCCTGCCTTGCTTCACAGCTGGGCCTCGTCTGGACACTTCCAAACCTGATACAAAGAGGAAGATTCCACAGATCTCTCTGTAGCTCCTTCTGGGTGGCCCCAGGTAGTGGCTGACTTTGCACGTCTTTGGAGATCTAATAGCCAGTGTACCCACTGGTCAGTGTGAGACCACACCAGATTACAACTCTTCACATCCATCAGTGACACACTCAAGTGGCAGACTCAGTGAGCACCAAAGCCCCACTGAAGTAAGTCCTGCCTTATAAGGTGTCTCCTGCACAGCAGCTCTTCCA